GCTGGAGCCAGAGGCCAGGAGCTTGATCCGGTCAGCCATGTGGGTGTGTCTCTTTTAAAAGACTATGTATTTGGGTCTGTCTTGCCTGCTTGTTCATACTTGATTCTTAAAATTTCTTCTAATTGGAGTATTTAGCTCGTTAATATTTAATGTTAAATGTTGAATTTTTTTTGGTTATGTCTATCATCTACCTATTTGTTTTTTGTCTGATCCCTTTCTTCTACGCTCTTTATATTCTCATTTTCTGTTTTTTTTTCTTTTTTTTTTTTTTTGTACTAACCATGTTTCTTTTTAGTGTTCTATCTACTTTACTGGGTTCCACCTATCTATTTTATTTGCTAGTCTTTGCTCTAGAGATTAGAATGTGTATGCTTAAATTATCATTATCTCAAAATAATACAGTGCAACTTCAGTGAAAACCTTGCAACAATATAATTTCATTTAGTAGTCTGTCCTTTTGCTTTTCTATAAAAGCATGTTTACAACCAAGTACATTTATAATCTCCATAGCATAATGCCGTTGTTATTCTCTGGCCGGGAGAACTTATTTTAGCTTTCTGTGTAATGCGCGTCTTGCACTTTCTTTCACATCCTGTGACTCAGAACTTGACACCCGTATCTGTTACAGAACGTGTTGCCGTAGCGCAGCCGGATGCACCTGTTCCATGCTGAGTTCTAAGTGGTTGAGAGTGCTCAGAACACCTAGACCTAGAACTGGAGGGACTGTACCCAGACGGTAATGGTGACCGAATCACCAAGTTCAAGGGGCTGTGGTGTATTTTTGCTGTTGTCAGCACTGAAGCTGAGTTAGCTGTACTGCTGACAATACAGACCCAGAGCCTGTAGCAGGTGACAGTACTTGGAAGCACAGGGAGCAAAGGACCACTGGTTAGAGTATCTGCTCTTGTGTTGCTTTGAATGTCTTGTCTACCTTGTCTCTCCCAAAACCTCACTTGGTTCCCAGAACTATGCAGCACAAGTTTTAGCACTGTTAATTCACAGATTAAAAAGCTGGGCATCTGAATGTTGTGTTCATGGCCTTGCCCATGGGTAGGAGGGCTTTACCTGGTCATGATGAGGGCGGTAAGGACGACCCAACCCCTGTGTTGGGAGACTTACAGGAACAAGTAGAATTTCCAGGCCTCACTCAAGTAGACTGGGCATCAGAACAGGTAGGAGGACCAGTGTGAACATGAACTGCCACGTGGGGTGAGGCTGGGGTCAGGCCGCAGTTCAGTAGTCGCGTAATTGCCCAGGGTGAAGACTAAATGTTCCAAGTTGATTGCATTTCTGTGTGAGAAGGCGGCTTCCGGTGTCTTGCCGGGACTAATGGAGCCGTTCGTGCCTGTTGCTTAGCCTGGTTGAGAACAACTGGGAATGGCAAAATGGGCTGGTGAGACCAGACACAGACCTTTAAGCTGTTCCCTCTCGTAAAAAAAAAGGCGGTAGCAAACAAAAGTGATAATGGGACTCTCGCCTGTTTTTCAGGATCTCCACAAAACATTTGCAGAAAGTCCTTCTGTGCCGCGCTTCTAAAAGGCCTGACAGCCGTCAACACTAATGACAGCAGCTTTGCCATCCCCTCTCCTGAACGCCACCCCACAGATTGATTTTCTGTTTTTTCATCATCCCCACTGTGAAGGGAGTGGAAATGTTCCAAGTTCTCTTCCGCTTCCTTCCATCCAAGCCACTTTATTTTTTGCAAAGCTCCTCACCCACTATCTGACTTCTTGTCTGAAGTCTAAATAGTTTCCTTTCCTCCCAAACTTTTAATTACAGGTTCTGTTTTCTCACACTTTGATGAATTTCATAGTCTCCCATAATGGGTATTTTTCTATGATCATAAGCAATTCTAGGTCATCCTGTCGTCATCTACTAGAGTACAGGAGTAGATTCTCTAGCATCGGAAAATATGAATTAAACCACGTCTATAAAATCGTGTTGCTGCGGCTCTGCAAGGTGGAGGTGAAAGTCATCTTTTAGCATCAAGGCCGGGGCAGCTTGAGCAGAGAGAGTGGAAGAGGCTGCAGTTGTCTCGCATGTTTATTGGTGTCATGAATCACATTTATGAAAGCATTACAAAGTTATAAACAGTTATAATATAATAGTGCGGAGTGGTACACCCGGATACTCAATAAATAACCATTTTATTACTGCAGTGGACAAACAGTACAATTAACTAAGGAAATGGGGTACATGGAAGTTATTTCAAGCCAAGAAAAAATGAGGACAAAAGGTCAACTTTCTGGACTACTTTTAAAACACATGCTCATAAGCCTGAAAGAATTGCACAGCTATCAGCGCACTCATTGTACTGAACCAACACAGCTACTCTACGCACCACTGTTTAAACCTTTGGAAAACATCTTTTTCAAACAGATGCTTAGTTATGTGTTGCATCTACTCGGGAGGCAGAGTGACATGCGCACGCGCGCACACACACACACACAGCGAGCCAGGAAGCACACAGCCAGCAACTGATTCGTTTCCTCAATGCCTGCAGCACCCGGGGCTGATCCAGGCTGGGGTCCTGAACCAGGAGCTCCGTCCCGGTCTGGGTGGCACTTGAGCCGCTACCTGCTGCTTTCCAGGTGCGTCAGCAGGAAGCTGGATGGGAAGGCGACCAGCTGGGACTGACACCAGCCCTCTGATCTCGAATGTGGGTAGCTCACAGGGCGGCTTAGGCTGCGGCATCAGTTTGAGAGTTGTGCGTAACGATTCAAGTCTGGAAGGTGTAAGAACGGCCCGATACGCTTGGGAACAGCTCTGTCGGCACTCTTGCCACCCAGGCATTCTCTGGGAGAGGTGCCTGCCTGCTTCTGGGCGGGTTCTCCCAAGTGTCATTGCCTTCTCCGGCATGGATCTGAGCAGATGGAGGACAGCACGTTACCTTGTCTCTTGCCGCCTTGTTGTGCACCTTCAGATACCTTCGCTTGTCTAAAGGGGGAGGCTATGGTGACAGATTACAAGGCCATGGTATCGTTTTGTAGTTTAACATCATTATGTCTAAAACTGTAACATAAATTTGCATAGTGCTCTTTGAAGAGGCTGCTTGCTGTTTGCATAGACTCAACTATTTCCTCTTAGTCGTGGAGGAAATTCCAGGATTCATTAATCTTCAAACACATTTCTTAAAAGCTTTGTGTTCAGCAAAATCCAAATTATATTTTGAAGCATTTTCTTCTTACCTTAAAAACCTTTTAGTGTTTAAGAGAAACATAATCAATACCTACTCTTCTGACTTAAACTTTAAATCAATAAAATGCATGTGTTTTAAGTTACTTGATATCCTCAAATATTTAATTTCATAAAGAACACCATTCATCATATGTGGATTTTAAAATAAAATGTCCCCAGTGTTTACTTGTAAGGTGCTACCAGTTCCTCTAAAGACTCGCATAGATTATAAAAGGCTTGTCCTCATCCTGATTAAAAATAGTGTGTGTAGGGCAGTTACTTAGCTGACACGATATTTCTTCTGTTCCTTGTGAACTATTTTGCCCAGAATATCATTGTTCTTAAAGGGTGATTGAGGCTCTAAAATCAGTGGTTTGATCTCCAGCATATTTAGTAGTTTACTGAAAATATGCACATGACCCTGGCTGTGAGGAGGGAACAGGTTCAGTCTTGGGGATCCATCGTCCTGCTTCTGGATTCCAGAAGACACCTCAGCAAGGAGGAGTTCAGCATCAGAAGCCAGGTTGCACCTGCCACACGTCGTGGGACATCTGTTGACACTGGGCTGCTGGGTAGTTCGGTTGCCTGGGTACTTCACCCGGGGGCAGGCCCAGTCCCTGTCCCAGCGTGCCTCAAGTGGACCCCGCACCCTCCACATTTCTTCCCAAGAATGGTCACCTAAAGCTTGCCTTGTCCATGTGAGGCTGCCACCCACCGTAGCTATGGTGGGTTCCAGTGCCTCCCACGGAGTGAGCGGCCACGCCGTACTCACTTGTCACTTGTCGGGTGGACAGCTGAACAGGGCCTCAGAAAGCATCTTTTCTCAGTGTAGCTGTGCCTAAACACAACACATCCTGCATACGTGACGTAGGACGGACAGCCACTTCTCTGGGGTCCTAAAGGGAGAGCAGAGCGGTCCTCGCTGTGAATGCAGATCATAGCTCGTCCTTTGTCTTTGCCCATCCAGCTCTGTTCTTTAAGTCTTCAGTGTTTTTGTTTCCTCTGCTTAGAAGGCATTTGTTCCTATGCTAGTCTCTCCTTAAGACTGGCTGACTAATAAACCTGAACAACTTTGCAGCATTACAGTTCCCTTGCTTTCTGAGGACAGCAATGAATCCTAGAACTGGGTAGCTTAAGGTGGTCGTTCTTCCTGCGTGTTTGAGGGCAATAGACAACGAGGTGTTTAACTCCTTTGGGCAGAAAGAGGCATTCCTGTTTCAGAATCAAGTTGGAATCCTTACTTTGAAAATCATGGTGCTTGCAATTATAATGCGATGATGTTGTTAAGCATTTCCATGGCAACGGTAGCCCAGCCTAGCCCACCCTCCACAGCAGCCCAGAGAGCTTGGTGTTAATAATCACAAATGTGTCATAGGTTAGGAATCCCAGGGTGAGAGCAGGTAAAGACCTCCCCAAGGTTAATAGCCTGGTAATGATTTCTGTGTCGGTGCCCAGGGCTTTTCCTATAATTACCCCCACCCCACCCCCACCCCTCTGCAGCTGCTTTTGGTAATGGCAGTCTTTTTTCCTCTGTACGGGGAGTATGATGCTTTCCTTTGTGAAGAGTGGAAAGGACCAGATCAAAGACTGATTTAACTAAAGTGAAGTCATCTCATTAGCAAGTGGAGTCTCTTTCCTGTAATGTAACAGTTATGTAAAAAAACACATCAGCACCCCCAGGGATAAGACATCTGCTCTGTAACCAGGTGTATTCTTCTGTCAGCGAGAAAAATCAGTGCAGAGGTGACACAAGGGGGGAAACAGACTTTGCAGAAGACTAAATCCTAACAGAAGAAGAAAGATAAATTATGCTGGCTGAATGACACAGTGTTTATTGCTTAGCTCTCAGTAAAATGCAGGAAGAAATAAGAAAAAAGTGTTTTTTAAAAATGCAAAGAATTCACAAAACTCTTTGTATTCTAAGGCAGCATCTTCCAACACCCAAAATTTCCACTGATGTCCCTTATCTGAATAAATCCGTTCCATTTCCTTTTTCCCATTTGCAAATTTCCCTCTTAATGGATGAAGTTGCTTGCAACCAATATTCTCAACATTCAGAAACTCCTCTCTCTCTCTCTCTCTCCCTCCTCCTCTGTCTCCCCTCTCTCCTCTCTCCTCTCTCTCCTCTCTCCTTTCTCCTCTCTCTCCTCTCTTTCCTCTCTCTCCTCTCTCCTCTCTCTCCTCTGTCTCCCCTCTCTCCTCTCTCTTCTCTCTCTGGCTTTCTCTGATAGACTTGAACGTATGCTCCCTGCTCCCCAAAACACAGGCGCACACGTACCTAAGAAAGGGAGACGCTGACTTAATTGTTATCCTCCGTGTCTGAAGTTTGAGTTCAGTGTGCACTGAGGCCCCCAGCCTGTGTGCATGTGGTGATTCCCTGGTGCCAGCACTGAACTGCATCTTTGCTTCCAGGTGCCCTCGAGTCTGTAGGAGGCTGTCTGGTGGTGGTGGTGGTGCTCATGCCAAATGTTTTTTTTAAGGTGTGTGAAAAAATATAACACACCAGAGCTAACGAATCTGCCAACTTATTAGTGTTTCAAAACTTGCTATTCTGGAAGAGTAATTTTTGCACTTATACTTTTGGACAAACAGCTAAAATCTGCTGTTCTTTAATTAGCACATCTCCAAATTCTCTTGCAGGTTCCTGCAGATTGGCTTCCCTCTCCTCTCCCCCTTTTCTTGCCTACTGAAAATGGCAGCTCTTGAGTAACCCGCTGCCTCTGGATGATTCAGGAACAGCTGCTGTTTCGTGGAGAATTCTGGAAGAAACATTTAGATTTATATTCATGAGAGGATAAGAGCAGCAAATGAGAATTTGATAGAACTTTAATTTTGATATTCCGTAATAACTAGTTCCATGCTTCTAATCACATTACATAGCTTTCTTTAGATAGTGTTTACCAGGTGACACTTTGTAGCCATTTATGTCCCGGGATATATTTGGGGGAAAATTTAAGAAAAAGATTATTTTAAAATGAATCAAAACACGATCCAGTATACCTACCAAATTTAAAAATGCATTAAAGGGAATTACAAATAGACAGTTAAAAAAGGACTTGTTTGTTTGAAAAGTAGAATGGCAGAGAGGGAGAGGGAAAGGAAGGGGAGGAGAGGAGGGGGAGGGGAGGGGAGGGGAGGGGAAGAGAGAGCGATAACTTCCATCGGCTGATTTAGTCCCCAAATTCCCACAGCAGCTAGGGCTGGGCCAGACTCAAGCCAGGAGCCTGGAACTCCCTCTGGGTCTCACACATGGGTGTCAGGGGCTCTAGCACCTGTACCATCTTTCGCTGGTTCTCCAGGTGCAGTAGCAGGAAGCTGGATCAGAAGTGGAGTAGGGGGACTGGAAGAGACACTCCCATATGAGATGCTGGTGTCACAGGTAGAGGCTTCACCCCTGTGCCGCACACCAGCTATGCAATCGACACTTTCTAATTGCACCTGTGTGGTTTAAATATGGCACCCACAAGAAATCAGAGACCGCTCTGCCTTTTCCATGCTAGTGTCAGGTGCAAGGGTTGGCCTACAGGACATGCACAGCCATTCTTACCTTCCCAGGAAGCATGCAGATACACTTGTACCGACAAACACCTTTCAAGGCCTCTCGGATGAACAACACGCCAGAGCTGTTTGTGTGCAAAGTAACAGATTCTGTATTTTTTTTATCAAAGTGGGCAGAAAAGTAGCTATAGAGAACATCTAGTGCTGTGATTATTAGGTAACATTAAATTCAAAATAATACAGTGAGTGGAAACAAAATGTTAATAATAAAATAATAACTGAAATGAAAATAGAAGCTCTGATAACATTTAATAGCAAGAATAGGATGGTAATTGCTCCCAAAGCGGTATCAGATCATTTGTGACTATGTAATGTTATGGAGTTCACCTGAAGTGCAAAATAGGTGGCCTGGCAATGTTTGAGAACAGTGGATGAAACATACAGATAATGGAATGTGAATTAGCTTTGTAAGTGTGCGGAACTCATGGATTTTTCATAAGAACTTCTAATTTCTTATAGGATTATTCTTTTCATAAATGTACAAATGTGTTTACCATTCATTACAAGGTTTGAAATTAAGGCCCACTCAATAATTGGGTGAAGAATTCTATTGATGATAAGGAATGCCTTCCTTGAAAAATGTGTTTTTCTTAGCTTTAGAGAGGCAGAGAGAGAGAGAGAGAGAGAGGGAACCGATCCACTGATTGTCCCACAAATGCCAGCAGTGGCTGGGACCCGTGCCAGGTCTCCCCGTGGGTGGCAGGAACCTAACCATGGGAGCCATTGCCACTGTGTTCCAGGGTCTGCACTGGCAGGAAGCTGGGGTCCAGAGCCAAAGCCAATTACTGAACTCCATTGTTCTGATGTAGGGTGTGGGCATCCTAACTGGAAACTTAACCACTCGGCCACATACTGGCTGAGGAATGTCTTCGTTTTTCCTTTTGATTTTATTTGACCTACAGCATCTGTGAAACCCAACTTTATATATATATATATATATTTTTTTTTTTTGACAGAGTGGACAGTGAGAGAGACAGAAAGGTCTTCCTTCTTTCGTTGGTTCACCCCCCAATTATGTCTGCTTCTGTTACCTGGGCCTGCGTAGCTTGATTTTGGTAAATGACCTGTGTGTGGAGAAAGAGTCTGTAGTGTGTGTCTCAGAACAGAGAAGCCCTTTGGCCTTCCTTGCTGGTTGCACTGGCTTTGTGGGAATCAGCAGCGGAGGGCATGCAGCGTCCCTGGGCGTGCCTCCAGTCACTCGTGCAGTAGCACAGCCCCGGAGGTGGCAGGGCAGCGACGAGTCCATTCTTGATCTGCATCCCCTCCTCTTGGCTCATCTTTCTGTATCTGTGGAATCCAGTTACGTACCGTGCGTATAGAACAGCTTCTTTCTCATGCTTTGCCAGGTACCATTTTGGTGCTCGTGTGTATCCAAAGGGGCAGGTGACCAGCAGGTTTCTCCTGGCTTATCTTGTAGCTCAAGGAGCCTCTGCGTGTCACGTCTGTTGACCTCAGCCTAACAGAGTCACCTCCTGGATGAAGTGAATGGGATTATATCCATTTTGAGTTGCTGTTTGCCCCTGCGAGAAGAAGGCAAATTCAAGCACTGTCTTGTTCATTCATTCTAGAAACAGTGGTTAGCAGTTATGGCGAGTCTGAGTGAGGCCTTTAGGAGACGGAGTGGCAACAGGGACTCTCCCTGACTTAGCTTATCGCCACTGTATAAGGGTGGGAAAGCACAGAGACCAGCAAAGGAGCTCAGTAGACAGCATTCTCATTTTAAACGTGGCCTTTGCTGGGGCTAGAGGTACACAGTGTGGTTCTCTCTGTAGCTCCAGGCAGCCGTGGGGAAATGCAGCTCCCAGCCAGCCACACAGTCGCGGTGGCAAGCAGCCGAAGTGCTCCGTGGGTGAGGTGGATAAATGCGTTTTAGACGTGGGACGTTTCCGATTCCCAGTGAGTCACTGAGCTGTAGTCCCGTCGTACGCAGAGGGCCACGGACATCTGTTTTCATAGGTGAGCACAGTTACTGGCTAAGGCTAGTAGAGCAGAGGAATTACATCAGAAACTAAGAGCTGTACAAAATCTGTGAGCAAGAAGCTAGGAAGCACGGGTTTGGCTAAAGGAACCGAGAAAGACTGCAGGTGTTTGGGCCAAGACGACTGTCACGAATTCCATCGGATTCCTTTACAGCCCAAATCCACGAGATGAACATCAGCACCTTCTCCCGAGCGCCTGATTATGACAGTGATAATTATACTAATCACATGAGAACCACAAATCTAAATGTTTGAGTTCCTATCTTGTATCCGTCTTAGTTTTTTTATTTGTATGTATCTCATAAATACGGCATTAGGAACACAGTAATTCCTCCCACTGCACCTGCCCTCCCATCACCCCCTCCTCCTCCCTCTCCAGTTTAGTCTGAGAAAGAAAAAGAAGCAGAAAGAAAGAAAAAAAAAAAAAGAAAGCATGGAATAAAAAAAACTAAGAGAGCTGTCCCTCCGCAGTCTAGACGATGTACCTAGGACTATACTGCTTTGCAGTTGCAAACTTCCTACATTTCACAATTACAACTTTAGGATCTCCGTGATCCTTTCCACTGTGCCCACCCCCTCTCCCACACTCCCACCCCCCACCTCTCCCCTTTCTTATTCTCTCTTCCTCTCTCTCTCTCTCTCTCTCTCTCTTTTTTTTTTTTGACAGGCAGAGTGGACAGTGAGAGAGAGATAGACAAAGGTCTTCCTTTTGCTGTTGGTTCACCGCCCCCCCCCCCCCAATGGCACCGCGCTGATCCGATGACAGGAGCCAGGTGCTTCTCCTGGTCTCCCATGGGGTGCAGGGCCCAAGCACTTGGGCCATCTTCCACTGCACTCCCGGGCCACAGCAGAGAGCTGGACAGGAAGAGGGGCAACCGGGATAGAATCCGGTGCCCCGACCAGGACTAGAACCTGGTGTGCTGGTGCCGCAAGGTGGAGGATTAGCCTAGTGAGCCACGGCGCCGGCCTCTCTCTTACTCTTTACTAAGATCTGTTTACATTTAACTTTATACATATGTGATTAACTCTATGTTTTTTTTTAACTTTTATTTAGTAGATATAAATTTCCAAAGTACAATGGCTTCCCCCCCATAACTTCCCACCCACCCACAACCCTCCCCTTTCCCACTCCCTCTCCCATTCCATTCACATCAAGATTCATTTTTGATTATCTTTATCTACAGAAGATCAATTTAGTATGTATTAAGTAAAGATTTCATCAGTTTGCACCCACACAGAACACAAATTGCCAAATACTGTTTGAGCACTAGTCATATCATTAATTCATATTGAACTGCACATTAAGGACAGAGATCCTACATGGGGAGTAAGGTACCTATCCTGGTCTCCCATGGGGTGCAGGGCCCAAGCACCTGGGCCATCCTCCACTGCACTCCCTGGCCACAGCAGAGAGCTGGCCTGGAAGAGGGGCAACCGGGACAGAAATCCGGCGCCCCGACTGGGACTAGAACCCGGTGTGCCGGCGCCACAAGGTGGAGGATTAGCCTAGTGAGCCACGGTGCTGGCTCACTTCTAAATTTTTATAACCACTGAGGTGATTTTGGGCCAGCAAGGAGCCCCTCCATGGAGAGTCATGGTTGGATTGTCAGCAACTGGTGGCCTGGCTTCTTTCTGCCCTTTCTGCTTTTGTATCCAGATGAGGACAATTGAGGAGACTCTACTGGTATTTGAGGAGGAAAGAATGTTGAACATCGATATTATTGGGCCAGCGCTGTGGGACAGCGGGTTAATGCCTAGCCTGAAGCGCTGGCATCCCGTATGGGCTCCGGTTCAAGACCCAGCTGCTCCACTTCCAACCCAGCTCTCTGCTATGGCCTGGGAAAGCAGTAGAAGATGGCCCAAGTCCTTGGGCTCCTGTACCCATGTGGGAGACCTGGAGGAAGCTCCCGGCTCCTGGCTTTGGATCGGCGCATTGCAGCCATCTGGGGAGTGAACCGGCGGATGGAAGATCTCTCTCTCTCTCTCTCTCTCTCTGCCTCTTCTCTCTGTGTAACTCTGACTTTCAAATAAATAAATAAATAAATAAATCTATCTTTTAAAAAAAAGAAAATCAATATTAAAATTGAAAAGCTTGGTGTCTAGGGAGAAGCACTTCCAGAATACCAGGGCAAGGACCCTTCTTCCACAGGAGAAATCAGAAGTGTGGAACTTGTCAAACTCATGTCCTTCACAACTATGGCAATTAAATAAAGGCTTACACCCAGGAAAAGCATGTTTATTCAAGAGAAACATCTCCGCATTGGAAGAGACAGTAATCGTTGTCCTGTTTTTGCTCACCCTCGTCCCATTCCCCTCTTTGAAGATCTTCGGTGTCTTGAAAACTGAACACAGTGCCACCACAGTGGAGTGACGGCTGCTGGCCCTGCGGCCGCTGCAGGAAGTGGATGTTCGGAGCTCACGGAGCCCTGTCCTGATGCTGTCCTCCTCCCCTTGTGTGGAAGAGCCGCACTCTCACGGCTGCCTCGGACCTGACTCAGAGCTTCCTCTGTGCACACGGCCTGTCTGCAGCCTCATTGCCGGGATGTTCATCAAGAACAGGCAGCGGCAAGTGGTTAGCGTTTCAGCTGCCTGAGGCTGTGATTCCACTAAGGACTAACTAGAGCATCCATAAAACTTAAGAGAAAAACCATCATGAATAGTATGTTATTGGGCACTTTAAAGGGCCCTGACATATGCCTTGGAACCCAGAGGAATACGTGTAGGCAGAGCTGTCCTCGTGCCCAGGAAATATGTCGGAAAGATCTCACCTCCAGAGGACTGTGGAGCTACGTGCAAGCAGGAATTGAAGACTAAGGCTGAGTTGTAACTTCCTGATGGAGCAGTGGAGATGGATCTCCAGACGGGCAGAGCTGCTTTGGCCAAGGCTGAGGGACTCAACCATTGAAGGCATTTGAGAGAATTTCTGATCAGTCATTTGCTGAATGGGAAGAGGGGACTATTCAGGAAAGCTGTAAATGTTTCAACTGGACCTCATGGCGTTCATCCTAACACTAGTCAACATGCATAGACTCATGATAGCCCACTTAGGCTAATGACAGTCAGTACATACAGAATAATAAGTACAC